ATAAACGTCTTCGCATGTAAGATTATAAAGGCAAAGTACCCAAAATTCAATAAAATATTAAATTATTTAGAATATTTTCCTAAATTGTTAAGATTACTGAATAATTAAAAAATTACATAAAAAGGCATTCACGTTGTTTATAGTTACGTAACCTTTACTTAAAAATGCCAAGCATTACGTTATCGATAAATCTGTCAACACCACATAAAACACACAATTCCCGTGTTCAAAAATGCTTTTCTGCAATATTTTAAAACTAAAAGTAATATTTGTTTTAATTCAAATTAATTTTTTTTTTAATGTTGTGTTGACAGATTTGTCAATATGGCCGATTTTAGAGATTTTAACGATTAAAAAGAAAATAATTCCAAACATTTTATTTAAATCCGGTTTGGAATGCAGCAAAATATTTTGCTTATTGGAAATATTAAATTTAATCTATTAACTTGGAATTGAAAGTAAAATCAAAGCTTCAAGGAAGATTTTTCGTTTTTAAATGCATTAGGTATCGCTTTTTTGGTGGGTGGGTCCCTACATAATGCTTTATTTTAGTATTTTCGGGTAAATTTAAACTGTTTCATGTCAAGAAAAATTTTTTTTTTTTTTTTTTTTAGATATCTTTGTAAATACTAAACTTTCATTTCCAGAAAGGAAATCATGTATCACAAATCATGTATCATTCACCATGTATCATGTATCATAAAGCATGTATCATAAACCATGTCATAAATCATGTTTCATAAACTATATATCACAAACTTTGTATAATAATCTATGTATCATAAATCATGTATCATAAATCATGTAACATAAATCATGTATCATAAACCATGTATCATAGACCATATATCATAAATCATGTTTCATAAACCATATATCACAAACTATGTATCATAAACCATGTATCATAAATCATGTATAATAAACTATGTAACATAAATCATATATCATAAACCATCTATTATAAACCATGTATCATAAATCATGTAACATAAATCATGTATCATAAACCATGTATCATAAACCATATATCATAAATCATGTTTCATAAACCGTATATCACAAACTATGTATCATAAACCATGTATCATAAATCATGTACCATAAATCATGTATAATAAACTATGTAACATAAATCATATATCATAAATCCTCAGGTGATTCGTTCGTGTCGTAAAAGCAAGTGTAAAAGATCAAATATTAGTGAAATAAATAGATACATATAGATATCATATAATAAATGATGGTAAATAATGTCGAATGCTGAAATTCAAGTAACGTTTACCTTGAGAGAAGCCGATTACAAAGATACTGTAAATCACAAAGAATCTCAACAAATCTCCTTTGATCATGGAATACACCATCACCACGAATGGACCGACGATGCGAAATCCTCTGCAATAAAAGCATCACCAGTTAATTGGAAATAAATAAGAATTCAAGTCAAACACGCAACCGTATTTTAATACAAGTTATCAGCACTCTGTCTCAAAACATAAAATATACATCATCAAATGATACAATACACACGCATGCACACGGTCCAAACTACAGAATATTAGCAAGCGAGCTCGTCTCACGAGCTGTTGTTAGTGAGTTTAAACCTCACTGGATGTCCCACTTATTGTGATTTTCAACTAGACTAACCTAACCTAACCTTTACACACACACACACACACACACACACACACACACACACACACACACACACACACATACATATATAGGGTGAGCCAGAGAGGCGATTGTCTCGGGCGCTAAATTTTAGGAACTCAAAATTGTTGGATAAAAAAAATTACTAGAATTTATAAGAGCTCATGGTTAAGGAGAATGAGCAAAACCCACTCTACAACACACACACACACACACACACACACACACACACACACACACACACACACACCGTGTGATTCCGAAGTTTTCGGTAGCATATACAATTATATGGAGTGTGTTGTTTAATTTTAAGTCTCTTTTATGTTTATATATTCTTTCTTTTAAATCTTGCCAGGTTTCGCCAATATGATGAAGCAGTGATTAAAATTACAAGGTAGGGATAAGTAAAAAAGTGATAAAAAAAGGTGAATGTTGAAACGAGATGACGTGGTTAGTCGACAAGATGTAGATAGATGTGGCAAGCATAGAACCCAATAGCGAATTATAATTTCGGGGTACAAATGCCTGTCACCCCTCAGTTTTAAATTCAGCTCGTCTGCGATGTATTGTTGGTGGACACTGGACAGATAGAATAAAAAAAACAGGAAGTAAAACGTTGAGAAAAGAGGGTAAGTAAAAGGAAGCCCACGATTTCTCTCAAACGTTTGAAATATTGTCGTTTAATAATAATCTCTCCCTTTCTCGCTCTCAGGGCGTGGGTGATCATGGTTCTCCTCATCTTCCTGTATTTTGGTGCTCTATGCAATTTATGCTCGTTTACAATTTGTCTTTCTGGTACCTGTTCTGCCATCCGATTAATCAATCTCAAGTAAGTCATTCGCTGCTTTATCCTTGCTTCTCTTGCCTTCAATGTGTTCAGTTAGTGTTAAATTCTTCAAGCCTCTTTCCCTCATTTATGTGTCCTTAAAATTTCAGTTGTCTCTTTCTGATATTAGCAGTAGTTTGTTGTTCCTAGTCACTTTAAAACTTCCTTGTTTCTCACATACTCTGCCCCTGTTATTCTCAACATTCGTCTGTCGGTTCCATTTGTGATGAAATTGTTCAGTATTTACTGCCACATAAAAGATTCGACATTACATGGCAGTCCGACAATATTTTCTTGGTTTTTGACGACATTTCCCAATCTCTTAATACTTTGTTCCGTTTTGAAAAGAATCTTTCGTCATTCAGTGAGAAAATGCATCCGTGTCAGAACTTCTCTTCCTATTTTTGTGTATTCACTTCACATTTATTCGCATGAAAACTGTTTGTTCTGAGAATAGGTTATTGATTGTTTGAATATCCTTTTCGGGTAGACTAAGTTTTCGTAACGTTTCAAAAATATTATATATATATATATATATATATATATATATATATATATATTTTAAAGACAAAAAAAAAACTTATCTTAGCCGACGCGTTTCGTCCTCTGAGGACGTTATTAAGGCAAATGACCCTAAGAGGACGAAACGCGTCGGCTAATATAAGTTTTCCTTTTGTCTTTATTCATATTGTCCTTTTACAGATATACTCTATGTGAAATTTTTACACATACACATTGCCATGCTTATATACATATATATATATATATATATATATATATATATATATATTAGTGAATATATATGATATCCAAAGTCGATAGCACGAGTCGGGGTCATGCTATCGACGTTGGATATTATGTATATTCACTAATAACTTAATAGCTCTGTTAATTAACATTGAGCACTGTTTTTAATAACACCTAAGAAATATATATGTACGTACAAGTATATGTGCGTATACGTATATTTTTTGATCATGCTCATCTCTCTCTCTCTCTATATATATATATATATATATATATATATGCATTAGTATTGATTGCTCTGATACCATTCTGATCATGAAAATTGCATTTCTTGCTCCAGTGTCTCCAACGAAGCCACATTATTTAGACCCTATTCCCGATCTATTTCAGTTCATTAAAATCTTATTAATTAGTTTATTAATGTAGTTCATAAAGTTGATTGTCCTAGATAGTCGCAAAATTTACATGAATAGGAGAAATATGTTGAAAATATTTTCAGCTTCCTCCAATAATTACTTCATATTCAACTGGAATCAAAAGACTTGTAAAATATTACAGAATAGAATAGTGAATCTTTCTGACAAACTCAACAAATCGAACTATATTGTGCTACCCACCAACTCTATCACAACCACAATTAAAGAGAATTCATCTCAGCTAAGCATAAAATTGATTGTAACGGCTTTTAATACAATAAAAGAGTTAATTAATACAAAACAAAATAATAAGCTAAAACCTGAAGGAGGAATCTACATTATCACTTGTAATAATTCCCAAGCGTCACACAAAAAGTTTTCCAAATTGACATAGATTTCACACACACACACACACACACACACACACACACACACACACACACACACACACATTGTTGTAACCTAGAAAGGGTTACTGAATGAGGAATAACTAAAACAGAGGTTGAAAATGAAATGGTAATCTTTATAACATCAACAAACTAAAATACTCGCCAGCGGCATGAAGTAGGTGAACCACTGCAATTATGAAGTAGGTGAAGCACTGCATATTACCCCCACTTACGATAGTATCCAACGTATTTATGAGGATTGGGACATACCCATTAGTGCTCATAGGTACGGTATAACACACACACACACACACACACACACACACACACACACACACACACACACACACACGAAGAAGACAATAAAATGATAAAAATGTAGGCACGGAATTCCGTCTTCGGTTTAATCACCATAAAAACATCAAAGACAACAACATCAATTTCCTGTAGCTGCACATTTCAACCAACCGTTCCACAGCATTGTTAATGTCAGATGCGTGCTTTTTAAAGTGCCAAGAGGAAGCGGAAGTCATAGTTAAAATGCATTTTCAAAATAGAATCATATATGGGATTTAAAAGATCCTAATTTTACTCAGAGAATGCAGTTTCCATAGAAGGCCTTCTACGATCCCTCCACAACCCTAATCGTGGCAAATTACTAGGCCGAAACTACCAAATTTCTTACCGTAGTACAACACAACACCCCTCCCACTAACACAAGACCATCAACAAATTTCCTGGAAAAGAAATTCTCACTCCTTTGTTTATTTCCAGTCTCGTTAATAAAGGACATAGGCGTGTCCGAAAATTCCGTCTTTCAAAATCTTTCTCTTCGTGCTTCGGTTTGTTAGTCAAAAGACCTACCAATATATAATAAATATTATCAATTTTACTGACAATATATTTTATCATTTTGTTGCCTTTTTATTCCTCGAATTTCATTAGTCGGTCCATTAAATCTACTTATCATAAGAAACATACGTGGACATAAAAATAAAAAGAGCATTCGGATAGTTTTATATAATTTATCATCTGTAAAGAAAAACATAAAGTGTATAAAAACTAAAGAAAAGCACCTTGTTTGTCGTATACAATGAAATGTGCATATATATATATATATATATATATATATATATATATATATATATATATATAATTGTGTATTTGGGTAGCAATCCCTCTTTTGTACAAGTATAGTTAAAAACGATTGAAAAAGTTGTGCGGTTAAGTCTTTTATTTAATTTTTCTTGTGTTCTTATAATTATATATGTATCGATATATATATATATATATATATATATATATCGATACACACACATATATATATATATATATGTGTGTGTGTGTGTGTGTGAAAATATATAGAAAATAGGAAGGAGGCAGCATAAGTGCTCTTTCAATAATATAAATAAAAGAAATCAGACTTCCCTATCTAAATATTTTTGGCATCTGAAGGAAACAAATAGGACACCTAAAGTAAAATGGAAAATTATAAACAGGGCTAGAACATGTAAAACTTGGGATGACCCATGTTCTTTGTGCCTCCATGAGAAATTGCACATTATTAAGCTTCTAAATAATAATAATCTATTAAACAATAGACATAAGTTAACGATTCATGGTTTGAATAATTAGCTAAAAACTAGCATACAATATAATAATTTTCATTATCCATACCCCAAATAAATAGTTTAAATACCCTACAAAAAAGATAACCCTTTATGAAGTCGTCAAAAAACAAACGTTACGGCAGTTTTTTTATATGCACAAATCCCTTTCATAAAAAATAAAATAAAAAATAAATAAATCTCCATAGACACGCAAACCAGACTAGAGTTAATACATCTTCCGTTTCAAATTTAGACCCCCCTCCATCTTACCCTGACTTGACATCTATGAAAGTAACTCTATACTGATACTTATTATTAACACCCAACACACGCCTACCCAATTTAAACAATTCGCCCTAGCTGTTAGCATGGAAATTTTGATTTCAATTATTAAAACACGTAAATTTCAGAAATACGTTATTCCAAAAAAAATTCGCTTGAAGATGGAACAGAACTTACTTTAACTCAATTTAATTCAAATAATTATATTGAAGTTTTCGGCTCTTGTTTTGAAACATGAGACCTCTTATTTCGCGAGTTGGAATCATATTTTTAAATAAATAATATATATATATATATATATATATATATATATATATATATATATACGCACGCACACAGACACACTCACGCACATATATATATATAAAGTGTATGGACAATCTTATACGGACGTATACATACGAATGAATACAATGCAAATGACTGATATGTAAATTAATGATAATTACTAGAACAAACCTGCAAAAGAAGAGAAAATATGGCGCAGTGCATAGAATGGCCATAACTCCAATGATGTCTTCATAGTTGTAATTACAAGTGATGCGACCCGGAATCATCATGAGAACAAGGACACATGACATAAGAAACATGGCTTTTGCAGGTGCTCCTCTCTGGTGAAAAGAAGTGTTACTTATTAATATTAAAAACAGCCAAATCTGGTTCCAATCGTACATAAATGATACGGTAAACAATTTGCAAAAATTTGCTAAATTACTCCAGCTTTAATCAAATTAAAAAAAAATTGCTAACTCTAAATTACGGAAATTTGTTAGGGAAAGATTCCGTGAGTCACCGTTTGTTGAATAAGATTGCTATTAATTAAAAAAATTGACGATATTTAACGTAAAATACCCAAATTCTTAACTGTAACTACTATCACGAAATATAAGTTTGTATTCAGAAAGTTCTTCTCTCTGACTATAATGGAAATGAACACAGTTTTTCAGTGAGGAAGAGAGAAAGTGGAGTTGAGAAACAAGATCGAAGTGAGTCCATTATTGCTTTGGTGACAAAGACAGAAGACGAGGTTGACTCGTGTCTTTTTATTGCTGTAAGTTTTTCTACTGAGTTGAATGGATTATATGGGTTCATATAAGCTCCAGAAACCTATGTTTATTTATTGGTGGGAGCTTGTTTTATTGGCTGTTCTTTATTTTTATTAATTTGGAAATTTGAAATATGTTTGAAACCGGAAGGCTGCGCGGAGACTTTGCGTGGTGTGCTTATTTTTGTCATTTGATCTTTTGATTTGAAACAGTTAACTTCCGCTTAGTCTACAAATTGTTCACAGTCGTAAATCCATGTTTAGTAAACTTGCGATTTGATGTAGCCCCAAACAAAGAAACACAAAAAAGAAGTTAGATTTGGTGATCTAGCTGATCATAGTCTGTTAATTTCACGTCCAATTCAACGATTTTGAAAACTGTTCATTCAGATAATAAGGAACAATTGTGGATTAATGGTAAGGGTAAGATCTTGGCGAAACGAATTTAGGTAAAAATGGCAACGGTAAAAATGGCAAAAGTGGATAAATAGGTAAAAATAGCAACGGTAAAAATGGCAAAAGTGGATAAATAAAAAAAATGCCAAAAGGAAAAAAATATAGATGAATATCTCACGATGAGTTTATTAAAAACTTGGATACAAAACATAATGGAAAAAAATGAGAAGTTTGTCAAATTAAAAAGAATATTCAGCTAAAACTCCCCCTCCCATGAGATTTTACTTTTTAGGCGATTATGTCTGAACACACTGAAAAACTTTGGGAAAAAATTATAGATCCACTTGATGAAACCGAAAAAAAAACAAACAATAAAACATTAATTATTTCAGAGGCTATCAGACAACGATAGGGTCAGACTGGTGCCAGTAAAATTTAAAATCTTGTCGGATGCGTTTTCAATCTTTTAATTTAAAGTGTGAAGTCTCTGAGAGGCGTCGTATAGCCATTTAGCAAATAGGTGTGAACAGAAATTCAAAAGGTTTGCTGAGGAATAGGCTAAGTGAACTCTAGAATATTTACTTCGTTTACCATAATTTACCAATAAAATAATTAAATTAGACTCTGAGAGTCAATACGAAATCTGTAAATGGGATTCCTAACCTTCGCCTTTGTGATTTTTCCGATTCCGATTAATCGTCCCAACACTACTATATATATGTATTTATGTGTGTATGTATATATATATATATATGTATGCATATGTATGCATATATATATATATGTATACACTAAACACTTATTTTATATATATATATATATATATATATATAAACACTAATACACTTATTATATATATATATATATATATATATATATATATATATATATATATATCAGCTATCAATTATAAAATTAATTATAGTCATCAAATTCACTTAAACACACTACGATTTGTGCTTTTACTGCAATTAGGAGTAGGAACCTAGCGCCCCCCCCATAAAACTTCTAAAAATCGACATCGAAAATTAAAAAAAAATGTTTTTAATACTAGGAGCGGGAACTTAGCCCCTATTTAAAACAAGAGGAGAAGGAGCCTAGCTACCCCCCACACACACTAGAGTAAATATCTATTTAAAATTATTTATTTTAAAATATTGAGTGGGGGACCAAAGGGATGGGTGCTTAGACCCATCCTTCTCGAACGGTCATAATTTTCTGTTGTCGAATTGCCATTTTTTTCTATTTATCCACTTTTGCCATTTTTACCGTTGCCATTTTTACCCTGCCATTTTTTCCGTTGCCATTTTTACCGCTGCCATTTTTACCGAACACCTGGTGAAACACGGTCATGTTACTTATTTCACATGCAACCAACTGAGGTTTAAGGAAGTCGATGCTTGATTTCTTTATAGATTTTTTACAATTTTAACATTCATGCATTTTTTCAATCACATACTGTATTTAATAATAACATCTTATGTCCCTTTTAGGAGGAATTATCTACTGTGAAATTTTAAACACCCATTATCATCCTAGATTTTACTCAAATTGTTTAATTTAACGCTCTTCCATTTTTATCTACTCGTGAGAATGGGGGATTTGGGGGTGCAGAGGCCTCAGAAGTTGAATAGCTTAGCATCTAAATCCGGTCCCGCTCATTTCATTAAGTCTTCAATGACACCACAATAGAAAGACTCACAAATAAAATATAAAACAAATTCATCAATCATAGGCATTGGTTTATTGGGCCGAATGGTAATTGATATATGCACGGGTTCTTCTTCTTCGGCATATCATTCGATCCAATTAGATTGCACAAGATGCAACAGATTCAGAAAAATACAAGCATACAAAGGTAGGTCAAAAAGCCAAGTACTTATTCACTGAACTTTGATCTGAAATTTTCACTGTATAATTTTCGAGGAAAAATTGTCAACTGTGAAACTTTAAACACCCATCATCATCCTCAGCTTTACTCAAGTTGTTTAATCTAACACTCTTCCATATCCATGATAATGGGGAATTGGGGGGGGGTCACTAGTGGAATAGCCTAGGGCCTCTACTCATCTAAATATGGCCATGGTTCAAAGATTTCTTACAACATGCCAAAATAAATCTGCCCCCTAATTGTAGCATCGGTAAAATAAAACGGTTCATCAATCTTAGATTTTGTCAAACTTTCCCAGACATTAATCTTGGGCAAATTCTTTCTCAAAATTTCCTTAACCCGTCCGAATTTAAAGGGAGCGGGTAAGGGGAGTTATTATTATTTCGTACTCACCACAACATGACAAATGCTCCAGGTATGTTTCCTATTATTGTTGAGTGACTTGAGATGTTCAGAAGATAACGAAAGCCGTCGTGTCAAAACCTAATTTTGATAATTCAATAAACATTACTAACCTTTCAATTTTATAATTCCAGCGTGTTTCATTAAAACAATGACTTTATGGACAGACTGTATTTTAATAAATTTAAGCTTGTTTTTTAAAACTCTCAATAGCAGCTCTTTTTACTAAGTTGTTTCTTCAGCGAAAAGCCAACATAAATGAATATATGCTTTTCTGTTTATGCAGTACTTTATATATATATATATATATATATGAAAAAATTAGGAGCGTAATCGGCTGATTTTCTAATTTTTTTCAAATTTAAAACTCTGAATCTTAAATTTTTATTTTATTTTATTTATATGTGTAGTGTGCACTTTTTAATAATACTGTTTCCTGGTCTGATTCATCTCTGACCAATAATTTCTTTTATAATTATACTGTGAAATATATATATATATATCAAATCTTCGGCAAGATTCGAAATTGCGCCCCCTTTGCAGGAGAAACCTGTGTTAGATTCGACGTGCTGTAGACCGGCTCAGCCACTGAGTCCGTCGCCGGGCGAATAATGCCTTATAAATGCAAATCTTTCTCAGATTCTCGAAACGTTCATATCTGCATCTGAATGTAAACAAAGAAATTATATATATATATATATATATATATATATAGTGGTACTCGCTTGGAGAAACCTTGGGTATTTCGGCTTGGAGTTCAACAAACCAATACCCAAGGAAAAATGAGGAATAAAAAAAGAAAGAACTAAGAACATGAAATTGAGGAAAAAACAATCGTCCAGAGTTCAACTTAGAGTCCAAAAAAAAAAAAAACTCCAAAACGAGTAAAAGTAACTACGTAAAGTGCTCAATGCACAAAGTAGAGCAAACTTAATATAAACCTAAAGAGCCGGGCAAACCTACCTAGGTTTCACCTAAACAGTTTGTCAGGGTAAAACTGGCCAGTTTTACCCTGACGATCCGTTTAGGTGAAACCTAGGTTTACCTGGCTCTTTAAAATTTATATATATATATATATATATATATATATATATATATATATATATATATATATATATGTGTGTGTGTGTGTGTGTGTGTGTGTGTGTGTGTGTGTGTGTGTGTGTGATTTTTATGGATATGTTAAATATGAAGAACAAAACATAATTCCTTAAACAACTTTAGTAAACACGTGATCTAATTTAAACAAAGTTTCAATTTTCGATGGCAATGTAAGTATTTTCGATGCAACGATATAATCTAACATACGTATGTATACGTGCGTATGTATGTGAGTGTGAATCGATAGACATTCACACATTGTGAGACAGACAATACGATATTCATCAATCTCTTTAACATGAGAAAACCAGATCATAAAAACGAAATACATCTCATGATATCCGAAAACCACTGAAATGAAAGCGATAGACGCCTGAATAGAAAAAAAGTCATATTTTTTTTAGTGCATTTTTTTAGTTTTCCCGTTTTCATCCTGATAAAAATGTTTCATAACTTCTTATGATTGATTCCTTAGGAATCATGAAGAAACTTTTGTTTTTGTTATACAAAGATTACAGAATTCCCCCAAGTGGTCACATGTGTATCTGTGTGTATCAGCACGTTAACGTTAACGTTTCCTTGTTGTCGCTGATGAGCTGAAACCTCGACTCTATTAAAGCCTTCTTAATTTATCGTCACACTATGACGCCAGACATGATTTTATGATAAATATATCAGAAGAAATAAACAAGTGTTCTTGTTTTTAACCCATTTTTTCGTCCTTTTCTGTCTTGTTCTTAAACACTAAATAACAAAACTAGAATTTATGACCCGACACAACTTATGAACGTCAACTCCTCATCATATTTTTATCATCTCATCATTGTACTGTTATATTTCATACTTTGGAAACACGAAATCACATCATTGTATCTCTTTTGGATCTGATGTTATAGTCACTGCCATATTTCATTTTAATGCTGTCGGATTGAGGAATCGGAGATTTGAGTTCGAATTCCGGTCGAATCCATTACATTAATTTATGTGCTAATACCCTTACGAAAGGTATGAATCCTCTTCTTCTACCTCCACCCCAGCTATGGATAAATAGCAGGACAGACCGGGTTCTATAGCCTTGGATGGCAACTGGAAAAAAGAAAGAAATGGCAACCTACTGCGAACAAAAAAAATCTGCCTCGTCAGTTATGTATCGAAAGTGTATCACGCATGGCACATAACTGACTATATCAATAACGAGCTGTCCCTGTGGGATTTCTCGAGGTTGATTGTGGGGTCTGGGCGGCTATATCCTTGATTTGAAAGGTTGCAGACGTGGTGCGTTTTATGCTTTATTCATTTATACGGATTTTTAAATAAAAATATTTGTCAGTGAAAGTCACATCGGCAAAACAAATAGCAGCGTTATAGATAGATATACGAGAGATATTTTCCAAGTTTTACGTATACTGTCACTAGATTGCAATAATGGAACACGTAACTAGGACTGAACTTATCATACTAAAATGGTTTCGCTGGACTATCTAGAAAACTAATACTTTAAAGGGAGTGCCTTATGTATGTACCAGATAAAATGTTTCAAACTTTTACTTAACTACAACTGTATTATACCAGTTGCTGTTAAAATTTGCTCAAACTGTTTATTTGTTTTTGTCCATTTTTATCAATTTATTTTTCCGTCGTGGGTATGGCGATAAACTACATCCGCGTCCTGGGTAAGACGATAAACTACATCAAGCAGCAAGGTTTCTGATCTGGAGGTTTTGAGGATCGTGGAACCACCTCTTAATTGCTGGTGTTCCCAGGTCCACCCTGACCCAGGGTGGTAGCACCTGCTGTGGGACCATAACAGGTTAACCTCCAAACTGGGGTCAAAACACTATGAAAGTGTAAAAATAGATTTAATACCAGAAATACTTTGTAAAAAAATTATTACCAGTAATAAATTTTTGACAAAAAATAAATAAATGAAAATATTACCAGCAATATATTTTTGGAAAAAAATATTAACAGCAATAGATTATGGGAAAAAGAATTATATTACGAGCAATACATTTTTGGAAAAAATATTACCAGCGATGCATTTTTACCAGAAATAGATTTTTTGAAAAAACAAAATATTACCAGCAATAAAGATTTTGTCGGCATTAAATAACCCATTGAGGTTGATATGCCGTAAAACAAACCAAACCAAACCAAATTAGTTTATTTTTCTTAAGGTTATCATTTAAATATTTTTAGACAATTTTCTGTCTTGTGAAAAAGCTTTTAACACTGTTAATACGTAGATAGATGCCGCAACATTGACATTTGTATCTGACTGAAACAGTTTAATATAAAATGAATCTGAACTCGATTTTTGTTCACCATTAACACAGATATCTCCGTTCAAAATTGGAAGCTCTATAGAACACTACGATACACACGAAAGTGGATCAATAAGTCTGTGGTTTGATATGGAAGTATTCGCTGAATTTATATCTGAAAAATTCACTGTATAATGTTCGATCTATATTCACTGCTGAATTAAGTGCATTAACAGGAAAGGGTATTATTTTGAAAAATATCTGTTGCGAAGAACAAATGCTTTCCTCATCATTAAGCTACGGAATTATTGATGCATTAACGCAGATAAATATTCTACTTAAATCTTATATTTTGTAAATACACAAATGTACTGTCGAACCGGGAGTTGGAGTGATCGGAAGTTGAAGCCTGACTCCGAGGATTGATAACTCATAGGGAGACAAACTCTACTGTTGCGTCCACCAAGTAAGATCACAGCGTGCCCAATAAAAAAGGCGATAAATACAGAAAGACGTGAGACAACCGTTGAAAACTGGTGATGACAGATGGAACTGAAAAATTCTGTAAGCATTTCTACACATTTTATCAATCCCCACGTAGGATGTTTTTCGAAAATACGATAACTTGACGCTAAGAATCAGTAAGTTGTTTAGCAGGGCAGAACGAAATACGAAAGTTGTCTGTAAATGACATTCATGAAGAGTCTCAAAATCGAGCATCAATTAATCAATCATAAAGAACCAATCAGACGAATGACTACTCAAGGTCTTGAATATTCAAGAAATTTATTCAATGTTATTCAAGGTCAGTTATTCCTGAAAGATAAAACAGCGATAATAAATTTACCGCTGTTTTTACTGGGCATACTGTAGATGGCTTATTCATTTACTAATGAATTTTGTTGAGATAAAACAACAAATTTCACCTTTGTATAGCGATCATCATCACACACATATACACCCTTACAAATTCAAATTTTCAACAGCATTCATTCATTGAACAGGAAGCAACGCTGCTATCTTATGCGACAATTTTAAAATCGCTATATTTTCATATAGTAGATTTTGTGCACTTTTGGGAGAATCGGCCCCCAGAAGTCTCCCCAAATCCCATGCACTGATTGGTCAGTATCGACCAATCAGATTCTCTGCATGTTGAGAATGATTCTTCCCGCGCAGCACTCCTGATCCAATGATCATCTATAAAAGCAAAAGAAAAGAGGAGACGCACCAGTGAGAATTTAGCTGCGACAGAAATCCACGACAGTTGAAGCTATGCGCCCAACTTCTCACTCAACTCACAAACTGCATATTCTTTCACAATTACATAATTTTTCCTCTTGCACGGTAGAAGTGTTTAAAAACATTTATAACAGACTAATAACTATTTCTTTTCTTTCAGAGAACTTTAATAGACTTTGATAGTAAAAGAGAGACAACTCTCGTCTTACCTATTGCATGCTTTTTCGTACACATTCTTTATTGTATGCATTGTTGAATACAATTTTTATATATATTGATACCTTTATCTTGTCACTTTCTTCACATCAGTTTGGTTTCCTAATCAAAATGAAATAAATGTGGTGGAAGTCCGCCACACTTAATATCCATCGGTGACTCAAATATATTTCCATCTTAATTTTTCAAATTAACGACAAAAAAGCAACCAGTTACCATTTTACTTACCAAAGTTACCAAAAAGATTCTTAATCCTTGGTGGTAAACTTCTTTCGATGCTGCAAATAGATATATTCCTGCCCCAATAACAGACAACACCTCTAACGGTAATCGAATCTAGAAATAAAGAGAATTTCAATTAAAAAACCAATTAACAAAAGAGATCTGTAGAATTAATTGTTTTTAAATTAGGGCAACTTCTGCTACATACAATCCCCCTCCATTTCTAAGAAAGTCGTTAATGATTTATTCTGAAATATGAAAATACAAATAAATAGTAATAACTACTTAATTTTCCACATTCTTATAAGGAAGCTAGAAAAATATTGTTAAATGTTTATAAAAATAAACCATTGAAACATTTTGTAATAAATCACTTACAAAGATCTCTTTTCTAAATAGAAGAATCCTGAAGATATTTTTTAAAAGCGTTTTTTAAATTATATCACCCAAACATTGAAGCATTTACATGATAATTTAATAGTATATAATACTATTATACTATTTAATATATTAAGTTTTAACTTGTATACTCGTAAAAATTTCATGGTTTTCCTATTTTAATTTTCTGATGTATCATAATTCTTAATTTATTGATTGAATAAGTTCATGGCGAGTTCCAAGTAAAATACCCGTTGAAATTCCCTTATTGCATCGTTAAATATTTGAGCTTAACAACTTTAGCAAAATCTGTCTATATTTCTGAGATGAAGTATTGTAATTATTTACATTGTTTACATAGTTCGGGCTGTTGTCCTCATCTTTATTGCCATTAAGTTTATAAGTCCCAAAAATTCATACACTGGTGTTCACAAGGTAACATGGCCCAGTGGATAAAAGTGTTGACTTGACCCAAAGCGTTCAATAGCTGGCTACTGCAGTGGTGAACAAAAACTTGGAGAGTTGAACTGAGACATCTGGAAGAGGTATGGCACGTGGAACTAGAACAATCTACCCCAGTGGACGAAATAAAGGGTTCAGTTTGAAATTCAAATCACCCGAAGAAAGCTGAAATGTCGTGAATATGGCAATAAAGTGGAGGAAAACAGTCCGAATAATGTAAATAAATTTAGCAAAATATTACAATGACAGTCATAGATATGAATGAAGGTCATTTAAAGAAGTAAGAGGATACAAATAAAAAAATTGAAACTAACAAGGCTTTCCATTTCACTGAAGCAGACGTTAAACATATGAAAGCACTATCGCCTATCTATCATTCTTTTCATTCTTTCTTCTTATTATGTAAGCTTTTTTTTTTTCTCACGTCACGCACGTGCTGACTCACGGAGGGACATGCAAATGATTATACAAATAATAGCTCTATTTTATCAGTATTAATTCCCGATCAAAGAAAACCTCTTTCTTTCTCATTTTCAATGTATAAGCTGCTAAAACAAATTATTCATTTGTCACTACCGCCGGGATTTGCCGAGTCTTGTAACCAGACACTCTCACCTCCAGTTACAGCTAAAATAGCAAAACATACTGAGCAAACTGATTGTCAATCACTCTAGACCAGAGATCGGCAACCTCCGGCTCCCGGGCCACATCCGACCTGCGAATGATTTTTGTCCGGCCCGTCAACTTAACACCTGGACGCCAATTATCTAATTAATTTATCGAGCAGAAAAATATCAGTTAGACTTCACTGACTTACAATGCGATGAATTTTTTAAATCAAAATTTTATTCCGAATCCATGTTGACTTCTACAAGAAATATGTTTTGCCAAGAGGAAGATATGAAAGCCTAATGTGACAATGATGGTATCATTTGAAAGTACATATGCTTGTGAACAACTTTTCGAAAATGAAATATATTAAAAGTCGTTTAAGCTTGGGTGATAACCAGCTGGGTGATGTTTTGCTGATGTCATCGATAAATATCTCACCTGATATGGAGAAGTTATTGAGCAGAAACAAGTGTCTCATTAAATAATTTGCCATTTCTAACTGTATTTAGTTTGCGGCAAGGGATTGGCATTTTTTGTTGATTATATTAGTTGTTATTCTGTTGTTCCTGTAGTAAAATAAGGAATCTTGTTTAAATAATGTAACATTAACTTTTTTTTTATCTTCAAACCTCCAGACCAAGTCAGCCTTCTGAATGGAGCTGTCTAAGATCGAGACAAATTATTATAGTACATCTGATATCACGTCCCTAGTCCGAGACACTACATAGCTTTCTGGCCGACTCTCTTCAAAAGGTTACTGACACCTGCTCCAGACAAACAGATCTGAATTCAAAACCAGGATTGAGTCGGTTTATATGTTAACTTTGATATTCGTCCGGCAACCCTGGATGCAAGCTTTACTAATTCGTCTAGGTTCTTGAAACGTACGGCCGATGGGGCTACAGGGAAGCTTGATCGAACTCATTGAACAGTTACACTGATCGTTAATCATATGCTGGGTGAGAAAAATATTACTACCTCCTTCCCATAATAATTGTTACACTTGTACATACATTTCACACATTAAATATAACAACTATTATTTGACAAATGTAATACTTTAAATATTGTCGCGTAACATATCACGTATTTTAATCACAGTCTCTCTTTTTTTTATTTATTAAGCTTAGATTAATATGGATGAAAATATGGAAAGAGTGTTTGTTTCGCATCAACCCGAAGATCCGTCTGCTTTGACAATTAACATGGCGTTTCTTTTAATTGGTGTTTTCGCTTTGAATAACAATTGGCATTACTCAGCCTGCAAACTTAATTTATTCTAACGATGTTTGTGCGTTATACCCACATAGCTTTACCATTTTTGCCAAGGAGTCATTAGGTGGCGCTGCGAAGCGCCTTATAAAAACGAGGCAATGCCTGTATTCGTCCTATTATCTCTCTTTGTCTCCCAGCATGCTTTAGTGACAACACCACCGGGACCTTGTTCCCAGGCATGGGTATCCCTTTAGTAACTGAACATTTTCACACAGACGTACATATGTATCACCTACATAATTTTTAACTTGTAATGTTTTCTTTCTTTCGCATTTATACTAGTGTATTTTTCTATCTTTTACTCAGCTATATAAAAAGAAAAAATATAAAATATCGCCATTCTTATCCTTACGCCTACCATTTACGCGTGCAAAATATTATTGCCACTGTTTTTAGTCAAACTAGAGGCAATGCCTGCAACAGGTTTAAAATATTGCAGAAGTTAATAAAATGTCGACACGTGGAAGCCTGTAACCAACCATACACAGAATTAATCGCATATCTTCTTGTAAAAGAACGATGTAGTTTTCAAGAACTACGATCAAATAAGAAAGAATTTCTAAAATTATAAAAGAAAAGACGCTTTTTCTTTTTTCTTTTTTTAATTGAAAATACGTGAATGATTCATTGTTGTACAGTAGGTGTCGCGGTGTTTTCGGAATAATTTTTGAATGCGAATAAAGTTGATCTTTTCAAACAGATACTAGTTATAAAGCTTTATAATGTTAGCAATTATAAAATATAAAGTAAATATAAATTTTTTAAAAATACGTGTGAAACAGTAGTCTTAACTACTCGGGCCATTAACTAATTCTCAATCCCCCCAAATGTTTTAAAAGACAGGGTTATATATACTGTAGACTCGTCCTTTTCTAATTATCACCCCTAGTAACAGAACAGTCTGTACCTTACGCCTACGTACGGAAAACTTCGACCAATAAAAAACCGTACTAGGCGAATCAACAAATCTCATTGGTTAACGACACAATAATCTGAAAGTTTCACGTGCAAAACAAAATTGCGCCAAAACTTCTTTGAGCCGATTTTGGACTTTCAAAAACATATAAAAGAAAACACCGACTGACCAAAAGGGTCAGAGACGAACATCCACAGAGAAATTGCCAACACACTCCACGTCACTCGAAATCACTTTACCGCGCAAAAGTACATCAACGCTGACTCACTTGCAATTCAATCTCGACCAACTCTGTGGACATCAAATCGCAAACCTAAAACAACTTTGCTTATCCAAAGTGAACTATACTCACTTATTAAGTAAAAGTCAACATTCGAACGATTCAGAAATATTACAGTCAAAGGTAGACCACTCTATAAGAACTCATTCGTAAAAACACTTAACATCGACATTTTTAATGTTAATTAACACGACTCCAGAAAGACTGTAACTGAACATACAAATACAAAAAGAGATATACCGAAACCTCAAATATCACACACACTTTGCCATAGTAACATATACCAAAATATCCTGTATATACATTACTTTTAATTGTATATAAATGTCTGGTTGGTTTCTAAATTGAATATGTCTTGTTTTTGATTGTATTTAAAATTCGTTTATTTATTTGTTTGTGGATGCAGAAAGTCACGCAACCTACACAAATTCCTTCTGATTCACTCAAGCACAATTAATTAATTCTGCACATCCCCCAACAATACCACGAGTTTGACCAATCAGAACAACAGAAACAAATTATTATTACTACTACTGGAATGTTGACCGTCAATGTCAGTGTTTTAATATTGTAATTTGGGGCAATATCTGATCTGTCATTTTTGGTCATCAGTTGTCGTATGATGCGCTCATTAAATCGCTTTTCATCACATATGAGTAAAAGAATATAAAAACATACTGTAACATGTTTTCTTACTACTACTACTACTACCTTCTCTTCTCGAGTTCTTTTCTGCCACTTATGTACCTAATTAGCATAATTTTGTACATTTCTTCAGTATGACTTGCGGGTTACTCCTCTTGGCTATAAAAAGACGAACATTTACTTGCTTCCTTCCTTTCCCACCTCTCTCCCTCTCTTTCTATTCTTCTAGCTCCAAGGTGTATCAGAACGTAGATAAGAACTTCCCCGCTAGATCCCGTTCATTCTCCTGGTCCATTCATGACTGAAATCTAGCACACACATACACATACACGTGTGTATCGCACATGCGCGTATTACATACACAAACAGACACATTCTTAATAGCTAAGTTTTTAATATCTTTTCCTTCACTTTAACTCTGTCCATATTAATGTAATTTCTTTTTGTTAATACATGCATTATTTGTTTGTTTAAATTCCATGTGTTTGTTATTTTTGCTCTGACTCATATGAGTCCGCCAAATATCTTTTTCAGGACAAGTATTTTAAGAGTTATTATTAAATGAAATGTTTACGGAAAAACGTAAATACCTCGCAAGAAAAGAGGTTAGTCCCGAAACAGACTGCAAAACAAGGAATACTTCAATCATTTTTACTTACGTAATCGTAGTTCGTGTAAGGATACAGTAGATAACATTTATTTCGTGGTTCATTTTCAATGTAGATCTTTTTTTTGCATTTTACATCTTCGATGAGTTCCGTTACATTTCCACCCAAACGAGGGTCAGCTCCGGGTCTAAGGGCGAAAGCCGAAGCAAATATAATAAAATAAAGAGTAAAAAAAAAGAACCGCCGATAAAACCTGAAAAAAAAAAAAGAATAATTATTTCAGGTTGACTTGTTTTTTTTTCACCCCAATCAAGGCGGGAGTGCCACTAGTACGCAATGATAAGAGAAAAAAATTGGGTAGAGGGGGATTAAAGAAAGGATAAAAGAACAGGGAACAAGGCATCAGATGATGACGATTGACGTTGCATTTACATTTTTGAAGATTGTAGTTATCGGGAAAGCAAATAAGAAGAAGGGAGTTCCACCGTCGGGAAGTGCGGGAGAAGAAGCTGCTGCATTAGAAGCGGTTACATTTAACTGTTTCAACAGTAAAGGGTAGGACCTAGATACCAACCTAGCAGCACGCTTAAATTCACGCAGTCGGGACACCAGGGAAAATATCTCGTCAGAGCAGTTACCATGAAAATATTTGTAAAAAAGACAGAGGGAAGCTACATCACGTCTGTGAGAAAGTGAGTGGTGTCGAGGTGCCAAGTCAGGACCGATCACATTGCAGATTCGTCTTTGGATTTTTGTCGAGCACCTCGAGATGAACAGCAGGGGCGCCAAACCAGATATAGCAACAATATTCAATGCATGGACGAATAGTAGATTTGTAGGATGGACTCAGACAAGAAAAACCATCTGGCACGATACAGAGAGCCAACTTTCCTTGTGGTAGATGCAACTATTAATTCAGTATCAAGTTCCACCTCAGATCAGTGGAAAAAGTGAGGCTAAGAAGGCACGGTGAGGCGCTCCCGTGAAATGGAGCATCAACCATGCTGATAAGGGGTAGGGATGTTTATCTATGGTGGTTAAATGAGAGCAGTTTAGTTTTGGAGGCATTAAAGTTTACAAGCCACATCCCGAGTTAAATGTAATTTATAAGTGTAAACAAAATAATAACAACAGGAATGTAAGTTTTTTTCTTTTTCTCGACCAATGTCGACATACAAAATTGCTTCCAGTGTCACGCGACACATGAGACAATGATTTTTGTCTTTATTTTTCGGACGATCTACAGAAGCCCAGTTATTGTTGGCAACAATTACAAATTTTCACAAGGTCAGAGTATTAGCTTGACGCTCTGATGGACTACTTTATAATGTAAAACGGTTCCAGCTACGCTATTATTTAACTATATCGGGCATGAAAAAATAGACTCATGCATTTTCTGAGGGCATTAGTGCGTAGTGAATGGAAACAACCCCAGTCGGAGTTTGAACTTGGTTATGCCAATACTATTCTCGGTGACGTTTACCTTTAAACTCCGACACCTCCAACTTCGATATCTATTAAAATAGAAATTGCAATCCAGTATTAGTCAGCAGTGTATCTAATAGAATATTTTTTGTTGTTATGTCAGTTACAGTTCTTGTTCATACCAACAGCCAAATAAGACGTATTTTTGTATATGTTATATATTGAAACTACACATGCTGCATGCCCGAGTGGTTAGAACGCTAGTATTCCGAATCTCATTAGAGTTAATTTGTCAACGGGATGACTTTTTGATTATAACGACCTGTGGGCAGATGACACCAGTACTGTTGGAAAATGCCTGAAAACCAAATCACAAGTTAACCCGAGCCTTGTGAGTGAAATTGAATTAGACGAAACTGTTTGTAAGTCATCGATGGTTGTGCTAGCCGGAAGTCACACGCCATCGGGATGACTTCGTTCAACTACTGATCATGCTGGGTTATGCCCTCACTCCCAGAAACAGTGACTCTCCTCAGCTTAGTTGAAAGCCACGGGGTGACTTCGTTCAACTACTGATCATGCTGGGTTATGCCCTCGCTCCCAGAAACAGTAACTCTGCTCAACTTAGGTGAAAGCCACGGGGTGACTTCGTTCAACTACTGATCATGCTGGGTTATGCCCTCACTCCCAGAAACAGTGACTCTGCTCAGCTTAGTTGAAAGCCACGGGGTGACTTCGTTCAACTACTGATCATGCTGGGTTATGCCCTCACTCCCAGAAACAGTGACTCTCCTCAGCTTAGTTGAAAGCCACGGGGTGACTTCGTTCAACTACTGATCATGCTGGGTTATGCCCTCACTCCCAGAAACAGTGACTCTCCTCAGCTTAGTTGAAAGCCACGGGGTGACTTCGTTCAACTACTGATCATGCTGGGTTATGCCCTCACTCCCAGAAACAGTAACTCTGCTCAACTTAGGTGAAAGCCACGGGGTGACTTCGTTCAACTACTGATCATGCTGAGTTATACCCTCACTCCCAGAAACAGTAACTCTCTTCAGTTTAGATGAGAGCCACGGAGTGACTTTGTGGGTGTTTAAAAAAATACGTGTCTGAGCGAGTGTCTGTAGCAGGGATTTTCCACATATCCGATGCAGATGGATATATTAGGAAGCGAGCATCTCAAGTAATGCCTTAATAAAGTCAACAGTACAGTTGTAAAATAGACAAAATCTAAGAAGTCTGCAAAATGAAATAATGAATAATGAAAATATATAAGTAAGAAGTGTGATTATTATAGGAAGAAGTGAGAAAAAGATAATTGGAACGACACGGAGTGTGGAGAGCGGTTTCAGCTTACCGATAACGAGCGAACGTTCGCCATTTCTCTTCCAGCAGACTAAATATGATTCCGTCCATCATGAAAAGATGTTCCACTTTGTCCTGTCAACAGAAGATACAAGAATAACAACGTCACAATTTTTATGTCGAATCCTTATTTTTAAAAAATATACGTTAGTTTATATTTTGCAGAATTTTTAATAAGTATATACTGAGAGAGAAAGAGAGAAGGGGAGACAGCGAGAGCGTGAGAAAGCGAGAGAGAGAGAGAAAGAGAGGGAGGGAGACGGAGAGAGAGAGAATTGCCGAATTAAATCCATACTTACTCCATATACAATGAGACTTAGCGTGGAATTAGTATTGATTTCTCCAGTTTCTGAAATCGTGTCAATTTCTTTTAGCGGGTACCCAGCACACGTGATATCACCATATTCCCAGTATTGCTGTCTTTCCAGATTTATTATATGCTCATACATCTAAATAAAATAATAATCATTACCTCAATAAAGATATTAATCTAGATAATGATACAATGGAAAATGAATAACCAAACAACACATTTCTACTTATTTTTATTATTATATCGACCAGTTGTTATGAAGAAGGTTGGTGCATTTTGATTAGTGGTATATCAAACTCTATGCCAAAATCTAAATAATTCGATCAAAATTGTATACCTTCAACTACAGAAAATATTTTTATATAAAATTGTATTACTACTATTTTTACTATAAAAATGTATTTTTATATTTTCATCGTGTTTTGTTTTTGGTGTGATGGTATCACTACTTGCCTATAGCTGGGACCCTAACAGGTGCTACCACCACGAGTCAGAGTGGACCTGGGAACAACAACAATTAAGATGTGGTACAACGCTACTCAAAACCTCCAATCTCTCAACCAGAGGCCTTGCTGCCATATGTAGTTTATCATCATACCCTGGACTTATGAAGAAGAAAATTGATACAAAGTAAATTATAGTTGGCACTTGATTTCTCCTGCAACTTTAACTGATTCAATCCACCCAGAAAACAAGTGGGTCACGAGTAAAATTATTTTATACTCACAAGCACCCTGTTAAAGTTGATAAAGAGTATAACAATTTTGAATTTAATTTTTGCTTTACTATCGGGCAGCCGTCCTAGATGTGCGATATAATAACCAATTAGTGCATGTGGCCGAGTGGTTAGAACGTTCGCATTCTGACAATGAGACCCGGTTTCGAATCTCACCATAGTCGATTTGTCAGGAATGAGACTTCCTGATGTTATCGGATTGAAGAGGTCGATCCCAGCGTTCCGACACCTTTGGGAAGTGCCTTAAAACCATACCACGGGTGGACCCAAGCCTTCTGAGTGAAACTGGGTAGACGGAACCCTTAGGGGCCCCTCGATAGCTGTGCTAGCACGAAGTCACAAGTCATCGTGACCGAGGGTTTGAGCGGGCTGATCTTGTTCAAATTGTTGATCACGCTAGATAACATGTTCTTTCCCAGAAACTGTAACTAAGGTCTGCTCAGCATAGTTGCAGTATAAACCACAGGTGGGTCTGTGGGTGTTGAATAAACACAAATATGCCTGGGCAAGCGTCTGCAACAAGGATTGGCTAGCAGCCCTAGTAGACAGGTATCCTCGAATGCGAGTGGCCAGTTATACTCACCAATTAATTCACTATTTTTGTTCTAATATATATTAAAATGGGATAGAGCGATATGTGGATTCATGCCTTTCCCAAAGACTTGAAAGCTAGGTGAACAAAAGCAGCTTCAATCAGAATTTAAACTCGGGTTGCACATTCTGCTTTCATTACTCATAACTTTTACATCACACCTCCATTTAGTTTATCTTATAGATATGATGGGTTTGCCTATTGTCCAGTTCACACTCCTCCTCGGTCTTTTGAACAGGAGTAGAGGTTTTTCCTTTGTTTTGTGTTTATGATTGGGTTCCTAGTCCCTTGTAGACCGGAATTTTTTTATATTTCTAACGTCTCTCTGTCCTGGGTATGACGATAAACTACATCCGCGCCCTGGGTAAGACGATAAACTATGTCCAACAGCAAGGCCTCTGATCTGGAGGTTTTGAGGAGCATGGAATCACCTCTTAATTGCTGGTGGTCTCAGGTTCACCAGTTAAGATCCCAGCTATGGGTAAGTGGTTAACCCTCAAACTGGAGTCAAAACACTATGAAAGTGTAAAAATAGGTTTTAGTACCACAAATACTTTGTAAAAAATTATTACCAGCAATATAATACCAGCTATACATTTTTGAAAATAAAAATATTACCAGTAATAAAAATCTTATCGGCATGAAATAACTCATTAAAGTTGATATGCCGTAAAACAAAATATACCATACCATATCTAACGTCTCTGCCTGAACTTTGAAATTTTATTCGGTAATTAAATCTTGACCTCTTCAAGAATTAATTGTCTATCTTTCCTGTTATCTTGCCCTTTCTTACGCTAATACAACTCCACACAGTAACCCCATACCCTGAGTGGCACTTGGGCCTTGTATTTGGTAAACATTAGTAAAAAAAAATAGTTTACATCAGAACAATTATCGTGTTACCTTTAATGCAACTATAATAGTAATAATTAATAACCAGAAAGTCAATTAAAACTTTAGTAGCTCTTGTCTTTGAAGTATAACCCGATTAGTTAATTGTTAATTCAGTCTGGCAACCTTCGTTGTCACTCGATAAGGTCAAAATGGCACCTGGTCTAAAAAAATGAGCTACCTGTTAGTAGGGGCTGTAGCATAGGGCCCCTCGAGCTTTTATAAAGCAATGATTTTAATTTTATAGAATGTGACCAGCCATTTTTCCTCCACTGAGCTGTGAGAATAGAGATCAGCTGCTGCCAGACTCTGGTCATCTAGACATTTGGAGTTGCACCCATATACACTTGTTTCATCAGCATATATATTCACAATTGATCGAATATATTCTTGATGATCAGAGATTGGCAGCTGATCTCTTATCCGATCTAGCACTAACTACCTAGTGGGGAGGGGGGAAATAGCTGGTTACATTCAATGACTCGAAAACCGAACTAGTTACATTCCATCATCGCCAATCAGACACCCGATCTACCGCCAGTCACAATGAACTGATGTCACCTCGAGGAGGCTCCGTGCGTTTTGAAACTATTGGACCTTAAACTCACTCCTGACCTCAAGTGGAACTCTTACATACAATCCATCGCCAAAGATGCAGGAAAAATGGCCGGATTACTGTACCTGATTTCTAATGCTATCATCTACCTTTACAGGAGCTAGTTCAGGCTGAAATAGGAGTACTGTTGTCATATTTGGGTGGGAGCTGTCCAGTCTTCACTTTCCAGTCTCGATAGCGTTCAAAAGTGTCTCTGGGTCCTTTTGGGTGACGAATTCCTTGGTACCGCCAGGTCTAACCTTCACGGCTAGGACCTGTGACGCCACTTATATTGTATCAAACCAACCATATTCATCCATATTCAATCGGGGAGAAGTAAGTTTCACTCGTGCAGCTTCTTCCCGCGAAACATTGCTCTATGGAACCAACTCCCAAGAGGATGTTTCCCTGATCACTACAATCTTAATCTGTCCAAGTTTAACCATTATTTCCCCCTCATATAGTATAGAGTGGACCTTACTGTAATATATATAATCCCCCATGCTGACAGTAAAACTCTGAGTATAATTTAAATACTCTGTCATACTGTTGGCATTGGATATTAAGTATATTTGTTAATATATATTTAATAGCTCTGTTGTTTTGGATTGAGTACTGTTTTATTTACACCAAAGGGAATACACATACATACACACACATGTACTTTTTTGTCTATATATATATATATATATATATATATATATATATATATATATATATATATGCAGTGCTTATTGGAAAGTGCTCAATATCAGTGATAGATCTAACATATTCAGTTGTATGGATATAACAGTTGTTTGAGGTTTCCTATAGCCCCACTGAACTTAAATAAAGTCAATTCAGGTTTACTATGGTAAAAATTTTCTATACCAAGTAAAAACCATCACAAAAATGGCAAAAGTCATTTTGTCACAGCTTATTTTCTCTCAAAAAATGGATTTTCATACTTTTATAGGGGTAAAATGACTCTTTTATCATCACCTAAACAAATATCAAGGAAACTGGCATTGGATATTAAGTATATTTAGTAATATATATTCAATAGCTCTATTGTTTTGCATTGAGCACTATTTTATTTACACAAAAAAATACACACACACACACACACACACACACACACACACACACACACACACATATATATATATATAATATAAGTATAAATAATTATAAATAATTATACTCGTCTGGAAAAACCTTAGGTGTTTTGGCTTGTAAATGAACAGCCAATACCCAAGGAAAAATAAGGAATAAAAAAAAAAGAACTAACAACATGTAATTCAGGCGAAAACAATCGTCCAGAATCCAAGTTCAGAGTCCAAAGAAAAAAAATACCAAAACGAGTAAAGGAAAACTAAGTAAAGTGCTCAATACACTAAGTAGAGCAAATATAACTATGAACCTGAAGAGCCAGGCAAAACTACCTAGGTTTCACATACGCAGATCGTCAGGGTAGGTAGGTTTGCCTGGCTCTTTAGATCATAGTTTAGATAGATAGATAGATAGATGTGTGTGTGTGTGTGTGTGTGTGTGTGTGTGTGTGTGTGTGTGTGTGTGTGTTCTGGCAGAGAGAAACGTTCTATTCATAGAAGCTGTGCAAATATTGAATAATTAATTGAAACATCTATTTAATTCAAAGTTTCCTACGTAATTGACCGCATCATCGCCAGTCAGTGTCCTGGACCCAGAAAACTTCGATTATTTCTATTACCTGATAGCTGGAGACGCTCCTTTATTCCGTGGTTGGTTGGAAAACGTCTAATGATTGATCAACAAATATTACTCTTTTTTTGGTTTCTGTTTTTTTCTTAGCTACCAGCAGAATCTGATACTCTAGAAGTATGAATATCAATATTTGCCCACATGTCCTTTACATCAATATCATTTTCTGTATTGCTTCAACAGTATTTACTATGAGCGAATGTTAATCGTATGAAACAAAAAGGTCAGCATGGTTAAATAGGAGTGGACTATTACTGAAAAAAAAAACGGATCATTTTCAGAGAGAGTCAATTAACATTGTTGGGATAAGAAACCTTTATCATCTCACGCAAGGGAATTCATTTCAATGTTGCACTTACAGCAATTATTATTTAACATAATTGGAAAAGAATAAAGGGAATTGATTTCTTGCTGGGTCGGGCATTATGAAATCAATGTAGATAGTAAAAAAAATGTAGAAGAAATTAATGACTTTTTACTAAGCACAGCTCAGCTGTGGTACAAGTATGGGGCACCCAGTTATGGATCAAAATTGTAATGATCTGCGAGATCAACTTGCTAACTATTGTAGAAATATTAAAAATTTAATAAAATACTTAGATGCATATCAAAATTGGACTCATTTCAATATTTACAGTATTTCAAACCGAATTTAAACTGAATTTATTTGAAATCTTGTAATTGACACAAAATCAACCATATTAGCGAGTTAAAACAACATGATTCTTTTTTATTATTTCAAAAATAAAATATGCTTTTCTGAAATTTTATTTGAAGAAGATTAACTGATCTAAAGCTTAATTAATCTGAATTGAAACAATATTACTTATTTTTAGTTTAAAATGTCACAAAAAACATTTTAAATTGATAGACTTATGTTTGGGAATTTTTCTACGGAGGATATAACTGAAACAATTACTCGAGGAATATAACGAGTGCCTTATATATATATATATATATATATATATATATATATATATATATATATATATATATAAACTATCGAGTAAACTTAAAAATTTAAGAAAATCTTATAAGTAATCTAATATTTTATCGAATTTTTGGTACTTTGACTTCATAGTCTTACTTATGAAGAGGCTTGTTGAATAAATGTTAGAAATTTACCGTTAAATTTTCATTTTACTATCGTTACCGCTCTTAATTTCTGATAATGTGTATGGACGTCAGTATTAAAATAATTGTTACGTTTATACACACACACAAAAAAATCTTTTTTTTTTTAAATACTGAAGATCGCTGAATTGTAGTAAACTTTTTCATTTATGAATAGTATGTATAGTTTTTAGTTAATAACAATATCACCCAACCCGTACACATTAATACAGAATTTTAAGATTTAAATCTTTATTAATTAAAAAAATGAAAACAGTTCTTGTAAATATTCATTATTTATCAAAATTTTTTCTTATGACAGTTGTGTCCATAAAATATCTTATTAATAAAAGTAATTAAAAGCTTTTCTAATTAAATAATGTCTTTGTTGTATTGCATTATTTTTTATGATTCAGAGCAGATTTTCTCAAACTGGAAGTCCTGTTTCACAAAAAAAAAAAAATGACGATTTAAATTCTCCAATAATTTGTGCTTATAATTAAGCGCTATAAAAAACGAATTTCTCGAAATTTCATAAAGTTAAATAACTGTGTAAGAGATAGCAGATGTAAAAAAAATATATTTTTATCAAGATTTTTTAAAAGGGAAACTTTCTAAAATAATTTCATTCATTTATGAATAAGTCCTTGAAAGTTTCATTAAATTCCAACAGTTATTTGATTTTTGAAAGAATTTCCAGATCAAAGGGTTTTTCACTGCAAGAAACCGCTAAAATTTCCCATAATAAATTATGGTCATGCAAGACAAATAAAATTTTTAACCAAAATTCTGAAAAGGATAAAAAAACAAGAAATCTTTTCTGTTGATCGTACTGAAAAAGTAATTAAGGAAAAGTAATTAAGGAAAACTCTTTTCTTTTGTTAGATTTGCCAGATTAGAATTCCTCTCACTGTTAGCTTCTTGTCATATAATTCCGAGAAAATGGTGGTATGATAGTAGCGTAGCATTTAGCATCATAAAATAGAATCAGCTTTTGCTGAAGTTGTTTATATTCACTTAACACACTAACACTCTCGCGAAAGGTATAAATGCAACACTCCACCCACCGCACTTTGTCCCACTGACAGATATATATTGATTCGTCACTGTCATATCACAATGGTAGATGGAAAATAGAGTGGTTCAATTAACTCTCGAACAAACCGTGCAGTCTGTAGCAACAACAGCATTGTGAACCTTGACAAAAGCCATTAAAATCTATAAAACAAATGGAACTCTTCATTCAACATCTTGTATGCACTAAAGTACGACATATTTCAAGGGCACCTCGCCGTGGTGTAATGATCAGCAAGTTGAACTTATAGATAATTAATAAAGTGTTCGATCTTCACTGGGTAGCCACATACTTGTCGCTTTGTGCCAAAACTAAGTTATGCTTTGATAATAACATTATGCATTTCAAGGTTCAATGACTAGAATTTTTTTCCTGAGACTTTTGTCTAAGATTCTGACTAGCAAAAAACTAAATACTTGTTTGGCACTTACCTCTTTTTTAGCTAATTTGGCAGCAAGAGACAGCGGTGACAAACCTTGCCGATTTCGAATGTCCAGGCGAGCACCCAACGAAAACAAAAGAAGAAACATTTTCTGCGAGAGGAAAAAAAATAGTAATGTTGCCAGAAGAAAGAAAAACGGTTTTATTTTAGTACATTACATGTGTATACATTTTATCATGATTTTATAAAATCTTCACTTAAAGGGTAATTTTAAAAGTTCAAACCTCGAAATGGTGAATGAATCATCGTTGGTAAAATATGAGACCACTCGCAAGTATGTTTTAAAACCATTACATGGTCGTAGAAGCTCGATAAAATAGAGTAGTTATAAAAATTTATATAATAAAAAAAAAAGTAAACATATAAAAATAATTAAAGGGAAAATAAAAATAATAATGCAATAGATTAGCGTTGTTTATTACACATTCTTTTGAGGGAAGTTTTTAAAAACATTTATTAAAAGAAAAACGTTACTATCCTGTATTCTTTAAATAAAAACCTACTATAATGAAGGTCAGTTAAAATGGTTACTAAAAAATGGCTTGAATAAAATTTGACGTGTAAAACTTTGTATATATGAGGCTCAAATTGATGTAAAATACCGTCAAAAGAAAGTCTGGCCTTTTATAAAAAAAAAATACACGTTTAGTTTTCAAAGCTTGTAACCCGCCAAAATAAAGTGTGTAAATTGGCGTGGTTTAAAGAGATACATTTTGTGATTTTAACAAATTAGGAAAGTAAAATAAGACCCCCATGGTATCGAATTTCTGATTCAATTCGGAGCCGATTTATGACGATTTAAGAAACCTGGCTTGTCAGACAGAAATTCACTTTCACAGGCGAAGAACGTCGGCTGGCCCTCGAAGCTGAACTTAGATGAAAAAGAAGAAAAAAATAAAGTAGAAGGATTTCGGCATTTATTTTTTGTTGAAATACCTTATTAAGAATCTTAAATATCTTGGCGGACTTACCAATTTGTTTTGAATGACAAGAATGTGCATCACTGTATTTCCGTTGCTATCCTGTAAATTTGGATTGGCACCTTTGGCACAAAGGATTCGCACCGATTCTTCCTGCTCCACACTCGCTGCGAAAGCCAAAGGATATTCGCCCCAATATGTGTACCTAATGTGAAGTAAATGTGTAATTAGTAAGACGTATACAACTCAGCCTTTATAACTTTATACAGGTTGAACCTCACTAAACCGGGATTCACTAATCCAATAGCTTTCATGCTTCGGAATGGTGATTTTAGTGTAGTGGTCATTTTTTATAAGCAAATATTTCGTTGAGAAATCGACATATGCGAGAGGAAAAAAAACTTAATCTGAAAAATTTTGTTCCATTACCAAGAAGAAATATTGGAAAAAATTCTAATATAAAACCATTTGTCCGAACCAGGGATTTTTTTACAAGTTATAAATTTGTTTACTTGTAAGCAAAAAGAATTACAGTAGTTTGAGTAAGAAGATACTTTGGAAAAAAAGATCGCCTTGATTTTCAAATTCTACAAAAAACAAATTATTGGATTTTTAATAAATCGGCAACCTGAGTTCAAATATCTGCTGGGGTTTTTAATATTCACTTGACTAAATAGAAAAAGTGGGAATTCTAAAATCTCGAGGCAACAGAAATTGACAGTAACGAATGCATCATTGCATCAGTTTTTAGCCTATAAGACAGTGTTAAAAATTTACTCTGACTGCAAACAAAGCACGATCTTTACGTTCGAATTTCATTGAAGGTATTGAGTTGCTTTCTTTCTTCAAAATTGAAATCTCTCTTGTGTTCGTGATACTCATAAAATATGTAAAAAAAAAATGGTAGTTACGATGACATTAATATTACAATTTCATTATAGCACGAAGAATCTGAAATATTTTGATAATTAATGTGGAAAAGGAAAAAAAATGATGTAAACCCTTTTCAATTGTTGATGAAGCTTAGATTTGGAAATGCGTAAATCCAGGTATTTAGGAAGGATCCTACTCTCAAGGCAGAGCTAATGGAAAACAAATGAAGAACGTGTAGATCTCAATTTTCCACGTATTTTCTACAGTTTATTGATATCTTCAATCTCAATAATTATGTATCTTTTCTCGGGTTCTTCACAGTTCAATAACTGAAGAGGATTTACACCACTTTTTCTTTCCTAACATGTGAAATCCTGTGATCGAATACTGTTTACTGGTACATGCATTAAGTTTAACCCAACATAGCACCTGGACAATTGAGGGAGTGCTTAATCCATAGCAGTAAACGAAAAAACTTTAGATTACGAATTTCATTTTTTATATATATTGTGACGTCACCCCGCGCCTCTGCCCTCGTGCTATCCTGTGACGACCAATGTGGCTTGGTATTGGTCGCGGCGCCAAATGTAACGTTCTAACCCTTGGCTGATTCGGATGGGAATCTGGTTAGGTTCGGTATCATCTTTGTCGCTCCCAGCTCGCCTCCAACGTCTGGTTACCGAAGTAACTGCTTTGATTTCTAGTCTAACCTACCCACGTTGTGATTTGATCTTAGGTAGACGAAATCAATCAGTCACCGGGCCGTAATGCAAGCCGAATTCGAGCAAAGGTGACATCGCACAAGTATATGTAAAAGAAAATAAAGTAACAACTCGAAAGGTTCAAATATGTTAAAAAAAAGAATAACAAATATTTTTATATCTGGTTGCTGAATACAGGACTGCATCTTTCTCCCAAACCGCTTCTATGGATACGTGACACTTTGCGTTTGTTAGGCGAGTCTTAATATCTTAATTTGTTTTTCAATAAACTGGTTTTTGGTGTCTTCAGGCGATATTCGTAAAACTTGTTTTGGTGGTGTGAGTCGTTCTTCAAAAATAAATTGTTTTTGGTTAGAAGTCTAAGTCGGAATGCGTGGGATCTTTCAGTCAGCTTCTTGCGAGGCTGGTCTGCGAGCTCACAGCTCAACTCTGCTCTGTCACTCTGTCTGCGTCTGCCCAACTGCCACCGTCTGTCCCCGTTTATATGGACGCCGACCAAAACCGGGTGGGGGCTTGTCGTGGTTTGGGTTCCTCAATAATTCCAAATCCACAATAAGGATTTTCTTTGTTTTCGGACAGGAAAATTTATCACTTTCAATTTTTGGAAGTCCATTACTTTCTGTTTTAGAGGAGTTCTTAAGGGAATTGTCTTCCCAAATTCTTCCTTTCTCATATTGGTATCTCACACCATCCCCTCAGAGGGCGTCAACAGGTTTCCCTTCTTTCTCATAGTGGTATCTCACGCCAATCCCCTCAGAGGCGTCAACAGGCCTCCCCTCCTTCTCATATGTTTACCTTCGCCCAACGCTCACGCCACCACTCAGCCAATGAACGCTCAGCAGCGCGGGTGCGGCCAGTCTGGCCTCAGCTTACAATTATCGCTCAAAGAAAAAAAATTATCTTCCTTTTTCTTTTCTTTCTTTTCTTTCTTTTCCTCGACCAGACACCCACGACTCGTAGTGTGGTCCTTAATCTCTATCTTAACTGAATGTCATCTGGAATTTTTAAACGAGATTTTTGTCAAGTGATTATCAGAATCTCCTTATATACTTAACGCCTTCGTACTTCTGTCACCAACAATCCGTCCCGGTAACAAACTTTTATCATGGCCAGGTCTGGACATAAAACAGGTGGTCTCTTCCCAAAACCAAATGATATCTCCGAAAGATAGTTAATGGTTTATTCTTTTCTCTTTTCCTCCTCCCTTTTTCTTTGGGGTGGTCTCAGCTGATCCCTTTCTCGGTCGGTGCTCGAATTAAATCTGATTATCTTTTAGCATTCTGCTTTGTAAGCCACTTGACCAATTTGAAATTTTCATTAGTGCCATGGGCAGATTGCTATCTTTTATTCGCCGCGTCATAGCATAAATTAATTCCGACAGATCCGAGATCTTACGAATTTCCTATCTTCTGCGAAAAAAATACTTTTTTTCGCAAATGAAAATAAAATCTTTACCACTTTTCTTTTGTTAAAAAAAATAACATTGCTCAGTATGTCTTTCGTGATAGCTTCTTCTCGCCTTAAGTATTTCTCGCTTTTAATTTTCACGCAAACGCTAAATAGTGTCACAATATTTTAAGAAATCACGTGGTATGTACATATTTTCTTTTGGGTTCCATAGTGTGATAAATTTTTCAATGAATTTACACAGCAAGCTGGACCTCTTTTAAAGTTTTTTAAAATTAAATAAAATAATTTTCGTGATTTTTGTGATCTGGAGTAATTAAGCTATAGATGTTCGCCTATCGTCCGGTTCACACACCTTCCCAGTCTTTTGAACAATAGAAGTTTATCCCTTGTTTCCTGTTTAGGATTAGGTTTCCCATTCCTTCTCCTAAAGTCTTTTAATTTTCTATCACTCCCAGTAACCTCTTACGTCTTAGTAGCATTATCGCCTTGCTTGGGGTGAAATGATTAAAAAAAAAAAATGAAAATATCATTGAAAAGAAAATCATTATTTTTGGTCGCATTGCCTGTTGAACAAATCCTCCCATTTATTTATTTTGCGATGCCAACGAAGACTCGTTGCCACTTTTGCAATGCCAACGAATACTCGTTGTAACTTTCGTAATGCTCGTTGTAGTAGAGACTTTGTAATCGCAGATACAACAATAGTAAACAATACTGGTGTCAGACGACTTCGAATAACACTCGCACTAATAGTACTTGCTCGATAATACTCGCTCGAATAGTAATCCGTATACTGATTCGAATAGAGAAATAGTATAGTGAATAGAGTAGAGAACAGCGGTCCGTATAGTAATAGAGGATAGACTAGAAATAGCGATCCGAATAGTAATAGAGAATAGACTTAGAAATGCAGAGCAGAAAGACTGTATGTATCATATTATATTCCTGTACATATATATTAATAATAAATATACATTTTTCCTCACTACGCTTGTGCTGCCGGTGAGGAAAAATGTACGTTATTAATATAAATTATAACTCTTTTATTACACATCGGGTATTATTTTATTAGCAACGTGTGATATTATACACACACACACACACACACACACACACACACACACACATATATATATATATATATATATATATATATATATAATCTTGACCTTAAAGGAATCACTGTGGTTCCACTTATCTGCCGCCCCGTTATTGATATTTAAAAAGTTCAGTTTATTAAATTGAAAGTAGATACAGGAAAATTGTGGGAAGAACCTGTTTACCTTTTATTTTGGCCCGAACACCGACCTCTCAGGCCTATTTGAAATATGCAACTAGCTCAGCCACGTGACATTTCTCCCCATTGGCCTTTCTTATGACGTACGGCAGAAGGAAAACCGATGCATTATTTGATGAATGGTGCGTAGGAAGATCGCGTTGAACTAATTTTCCAAATCACGTGCTCTTTCTTGTCTGCCTTGAAATACGCATTTGTATGAATCACGAGGCAAAAAAGCCGGAGGCGTTTATCACTCTCGGTATGGTTGGCAATTTCTTTTACTTAATCGATTTTGAATCAGAAGCTTGAACAAGTAACAGAAACTTATACCCTTGCCCTTTCATGGCTCCCCGGAACTTCCTATCCTTTGTAGCGCTAAACAATGCCCGCCCCATACTTGAAATACTCTTTAGAATAGAACATGTAAAAAAAAGTATCTGCCTCTGTTTTCTACGTCGTAAAGATAAACTGGGATATGCGGGTGGCGGGACAGTTATAGGTGCGAAAAGAGGAATCAGCGAACTAAGTTCAAATTCTTTCAGTGATACATTCATTTTCGCACTAATGGACTTGGAATAAGCATAAATCCATCATTCCTCCCAAACAACTATGGATTAAATAGCAGAGTAGACTAGGCTCTCTAGCCTTGAGTGGCAGCCAGTCTATGAGAAAGATCGCTCTTCAAAGTCGTTAGTTGGTATGCGAGTCATTCTTTTCCTTGCTGCTGGTACCATATAACCCAATAAAACGTGAGACTCGGAAAAGAGATGGGCATTGCCGAATAATTGGCATTGTACTAACAAATGACATGAAAGCTCATCATGGTACTCCGATGATCACATGGGTCATAGGTTGTTTAGGTTTGGATTAGAAACGTGTTTTTTTAAGGCAATGTTTGTTGCTCGTTTGTCAGGAAATCAA